TGGAGCCCACAACTTCTACTTTCCCAAGCTCCTCATCGAATTCAACTACGTCTTCCTTCCAATCCACCACTTCTCCAACTGATTCTTCTGTGGATTCGACTACAGCTAGCTCCAGCACCACTGAGGAAGGAACTATGTCTTCAATCTACTCCAACTCCAGCTCTTCCATAGACACCAGTTCCTCTATAGGATCAAGTACCTCTTCAACTACAGACACAACCACTTCTTCAACCTTTTCCACATCATCCTTGAATTCAACCACTTCTCCAACTACCACCACTGAGGACTCTACTTACTCAAGCTCTTCCATAGGCTCACAAACCTCTAGCTACACCAGCTCTTCTTCAGGCTACTCCTCCAGCTCCTCTTTGGAGCCCACCACTTCTACTTTCCCAAGCTCCTCATCCGATTCAACCACATCCTCCTCTAAAGCCACCACTTCAACTGATTCCTCTGTGAATTCAACTGCTTCATCTAGCTCCAGCACCAGTGAGGAAACAACCATGTCTTCAATCAGCTCTTCTCCAGACACCAGCTCATCTATAGGATCAAGTACCTCTTCAACCACAAACACAACCACTTCTTCAACCTTTTCCACGTCATCCTTGAATTCAACCACTTCTCCAACTACCACCACTGAGGACTCTACTTACTCAAGCTCTTCCATAGGCTCACAAACCTCTTCAAATTACACTAGCTCTTCTTCAGGCTACTCCTCCTCCAGCTCCTCTTTGGAGCCCACAACTTCTACTTTCCCAAGCTCCTCATCGGATTCAACCACGTCTTCCTTCCAATCCACCACTTCTCCAACTGATTCTTCTGTGGATTCAACTACAGCTAGCTCCAGCACCACTGAGGAAACAACCACTTCTTCAATCTACTCCAACTCAAGCTCTTCCATAGACACCAGCTCCTCTATAGGATCAAGTACCTCTTCAACTACGGACACAACCACTTCTTCAAGCTTTCCCACATCATCCTGAATTCAACCACTTCTCAACTACCACACTGAGGACTTCTTACTCAAGCTCTTCCATAGGCTCACAAACCTCTTCAAATTACACTAGCTCTTCTTCAGGCTACTCCTCCAGCTCCTCTTTGGAGCCCACAACTTCTACTTTCCCAAGCTCCTCATCGGATTCAACCACGTCTTCCTTCCAATCCACCACTTCTCCAACTGATTCTTCTGTGGATTCGACTACAGCTAGCTCCAGCACCACTGAGGAAACAACCACTTCTTCAATCTACTCCAACTCAAGCTCTTCCATAGACACCAGTTCCTCTATAGGATCAAGTACCTCTTCAACTACGAACACAACCACTTCAAGCTTTCCCACACCATCCATGAATTCAACCACTTCTTCAACTACCATCACTGAGGACTCTACTTACTCAAGCTCTTCCATAGGCTCACAAACCTCTTCAAATTACACTAGCTCTTCTTCAGGCTACTCCTCCAGCTCCTCTTTGGAGCCCACAACTTCTACTTTCCCAAGCTCCTCATCGAATTCAACCACGTCTTCCTTCCAATCCACCACTTCTCCAACTGATTCTTCTGTGGATTCGACTATAGCTAGCTCCAGCACCAGTGAGGAAGGAACAACCATGTCTTCAATCAGCTCTTCTCCAGACACCAGCTCCTCTATAGGATCAAGTACCTTTACAATTACGGACACAATTTCTTCAACCTTTTCCATGTCATCCTTGAATTCAACCACTTCTCCAACTACCACCACTGAGGACTCTACTTACTCAAGCTCTTCCATAGGCTCACAAACCTCTTCAACTTACACCAGCTCTTCTTCAGGCTACTCCTCCTCCAGCTCCTCTTTGGAGCCCACAATTTCTACTTCCCCAAGCTCCTCATCAGATTCAACCATTTCCTCCTCCGAAGCCACCACTTCAACTTTCTCTGTGGATTCAACTGCTTCATCTAGCTCCAACACCAGTGAGGAAACAACCATGTCTTCAATCAGCTCTTCTCCAGACACCAGCTCATCTATAGGATCAAGTACCTCTTCAACCACAAACACAACCACTTCTTCAACCTTTTCCACGTCATCCTTGAATTCAACCACTTCTCCAACTACCACCACTGAGGACTCTACTTACTCAAGCTCTTCCATAGGCTCACAAACTTCTTCAAATTACACTAGCTCTTCTTCAGGTTACTCCTCCAGCTCCTCCTTGAAGCCCAATTCTACTTTCCCAAGCTCCTCATCGGATTCAACCACGTCTTCCTTCCAATCCACCACTTCTCCAACTGATTCTTCTGTGGATTCGACTACAGCTAGCTCCAGCACCAGTGAGGAAAACCATGTCTTCAATCTACTCCAACTCCAGCTCTTCCATAGACACCAGTTCCTCTATAGGATCAAGTACCTCTTCAACTACGAACACAACCACTTCTTCAACCTTTTCCACATCATCCTTGAATTCAACCACTTCAACTACCACCACTGAGGATTCTACTTACCTAAGCTCTTCCATAGGCTCACAAACCTCTTCAACTTACACCAGCTCTTCTTCAGGCTACTCCTCCTCCAGCTCCTCTTTGAAGCCCACAATTTCTACTTTCCCAAGCTACTCATCAGATTCAACCACATCCTCCTCCGAAGGCACCACTTCAACTGATTCCTCTGTGGATTCAACTGCTTCATCTAGCTCCAAAACCAGTGAGGAAACAACCATGTCTTCAATCAGCTCTTCTCCAGACACCAGCTCCTCTATAGGATCAAGTACCTCTTCAACTACGAACACAACCACTTCTTCAAGCTTTTCCACATCATCCTTGAATTCCAGCACTTCTCCAACTACCACCACTGAGGACTCTACTTACTCAAGCTCTTCCATAGGCTCACAAACCTCTTCAAATTACACTAGCTCTTCTTCAGGCTACTCCTCCTCCAGCTCCTCCTTGAAGCCCACTTCTACTTTCCCAAGCTCCTCATCGGATTCAACCACGTCTTCCTTCCAATCCACCACTTCTCTAACTGATTCTTCTGTGGATTCGACTACAGCTAGCTCCAGCACCACTGAGGAAACAACCACCTCTTCAATCTACTCCAACTCCAGCTCTTCCATAGATACCAGCTCCTCTATAGGATCAAGTACCTCTTCAACTACGAACACAACCACTTCTTCAAGCTTTTCCACATCATCCTTGAATTCAACCACTTCTCCAACTACCACCACTGAGGACTCTACTTACTCAAGCTCTTCCATAGGCTCACAAACCTCTTCAACTTACACAACCTCTTCTTCAGGCTACTCCTCCAGCTCCTCTTTGGAGCCCACAACTTCTACTTTCCCAACTTCCTCATCGAATTCAACTACGTCTTCCTTCCAATCCACCACTTCTCCAACAGATTTTTCTGTGGATTCGACTACAGCTAGTTCCAGCACCACTGAGGAAGCAACCATGTCTTCAATCTACTCCAAATCCAGCTCTTCCATAGACACCAGCTCCTCTATAGGATCAAGTACCTCTTCAACTACGAACACAAACACTTCTTCAAGCTTTTCCACATCATCCTTGAATTCAACCACTTCTCCAACTACCACCACTGAGGACTCTACTTACTCAAGCTCTTCCATAGGCTCACAAACCTCTTCAAATTACACTAGCTCTTCTTCAGGCTACTCCTCCAGCTCCTCAAGCCCACTTCTACTTTCCAAGCTCCTCATCGGATTCAACCACGTCTTCCTTCCAATCCACTTCTCCAACTGATTCTTCTGTGGATTCGACTACAGCTAGCTCCAGCACCAGTGAGGAAACAACCATGTCTTCAATCTACTCCAGCTCTTCCACAGACACCAGCTCCTCTAGAGGATCAAGTACCTCTTCAACTACGGACACAACCACTTCTTCAACCTTTTCCACATCATCCTTGAATTCAACCACTTCTCCAACTACCACCACTGACGATTCTTCTTACTCAAGCTCTTCCATAGGCTCACAAACCTCTTCAACTTACACCAGCTCTTCTTCAGGCTACTCCTCCTCCAGCTCCTCTTTGAAGCCCACAAATTCTACTTTCCCAAGCTCCTCATCGGATTCAACCATGTCTTCCTCCGAAGCCACCACTTCAACTGATTTCTCTGTGAATTCAACTGCTTCATCTAGCTCCAGCACCAGTGAGGAAACAACCATGTCTTCAATCAGCTCTTCTACAGACACCAGCTCCTCTATAGGATCAAGTACCTCTTCAACTACGGACACAACCACTTCTTCAAGCTTTTCCACATCATCCTTGGATTCAAGCACTTCTCCAACTACCACCACTGACGATTCTACTTACTCAAGCTCACTCAAACCTCTTCAACACCTTCTTCAGGCTACTCCTCAGCTCCTCTTTGGAGCCCACCACTTCTACTTTCCCAAGCTCCTCATCGGATTCAACCACGTCTTCCTTCCAATCCACCACTTCTCCAACTGATTCTTCTGTGGATTCGACTACAGCTAGCTCCAGCACCAGTGAGGAAACAACCATGTCTTCAATCTACTCCAGCTCCAGCTCTTCCACAGACACCAGCTCCTCTATGGATCAAGTACCTCTTCAACTCGGACACAACCACTTCTTCAACCTTTTCCACATCATCCTTGATTCAACCACTTCTCCAACTACCACCACTGACCTACTTACTCACTCAAGGCTCACAAACCTCTTCAACTTACACCAGCTCTTCTTCAGGATACTCCTCATCCAGTTCCTCTTCCGAGCCCATCGCTTCTACTTATCCAAGCTCCTCATCCGATTCAACCACATCCTCCTCTAAAGCCACCACTTCAACTGATTCCTCTGTGAATTCAACTGCTTCATCTAGCTCCACCAGTGAGGAAACAACCATTTCTCCAATCAGCTCTTCCCAGACACCAGCTCCTCTATAGATCAAGTACCTCTTCAACTCGAACACAACCACTTCTTCAAGCTTTTCCACATCATCCTTGAATTCAACCACTTTTCCAACTACCACCACTGAGGACTCTATTTACTCAAGCTCTTCCAAGGCTCACAAACTTCTTCAAATTACACTAGCTCTTCTTCAGGTTACTCCTCCTCCAGCTCCTCTTGAAGCCACTTCTACTTTAACAAGCTCCTCATCGGATTCAACCACGTCTTCCTTCCAATCCACCACTTCTCCAACTGATTCTTCTGTGGATTCGACTACAGCTAGCTCCAGCACCACTGAGGAAACAACCACCTCTTCAATCTACTCCAGCTCCACCTCTTCCACAGATACCACCTCCTCTATGGAATCAAGTACCTCTTCAACGTCGGACACAACCACTTCTTCAACCTTTTCCACATCATCCTTGAATTCAACCACTTCTCCAACTACCACCACTGACCATTCTACTCAAGCTCTTCCATAGGCTCACAAACCTCTTCAAATTACACTAGCTCTTCTTCAGGCTACTCCTCAGCTCCTCTTTGAACCCACCACTTCTACTTTTCCCAAGCTCCTCATCGGATTCAACCACGTTCTCCTCCGAAGCCACCACTTCAACTGATTCCTCTGTGAATTCAACTGCTTCATCTAGCTCCAGCACCAGTGAGGAAACAACCATTTCTCCAATCAGCTCTTCCACAGACACCAGCTCCTCTATAGGATCAAGTACCTCTTCAACTACGGACACAACCACTTCTTCAAGCTTTTCCACATCATCCTTGGATTCAAGCACTTCTCCAACTACCACCACTGAGGACTCTACTTACTCAAGCTCTTCCATAGGCTCACAAACTTCTTCAAATTACACTAGCTCTTCTTCAGGCTACTCCTCCTCCAGCTCCTCTTTGGAGCCCACAACTTCTACTTTCCCAAGCTCCTCATCGGATTCAACCACGTCTTCCTTCCACTCCACTTCTCCAACTGATTCTTCTGTGGATTCGACTACAACTAGCTCCAACACCAGTGAGGAAGCAACCATGTCTTCAATCTACTCCAACTCAAGCTCTTCCATAGACACCAGCTCCTCTAGAGGATCAAGTACCTCTTCAACTACGGACACAACCACTTCTTCAACCTTTTCCACATCATCCTTGGATTCAAGCACTTCTCCAACTACCACCACTGACGATTCTACTTACTCAAGCTCTTCCATAGGCTCACAAACCTCTTCAACTTACACCAGCTCTTCTTCAGGATACTCCTCATCCAGTTCCTCTTCCGAACCCACTTTTCTACTTATACAAGCTCCTCATCGGATTCAACCACGTCTTCCTTCCAATCCACTACTTCTCCAACTGATTCTTCTGTGGATTCGACTACAACTAGCTCCAGCACCAGTGAGGAAGCAACCATGTCTTCAATCTACTCCAACTCCAGCTCTTCCATAGACACCAGCTCCTCTAGAGGATCAAGTACCTCTTCAACTACGGACACAACCACTTCTTCAACCTTTTCCACATCATCCTTGAATTCAACCACTTCTCCAACTACCACCACTGAGGACTCTACTTACTCAAGCTCTTCCATAGGCTCACAAACCTCTTCAACTTACACTAGCTCTTCTTCAGGCTACTCCTCCTCCAGCTCCTCTTTGAAGCCCACAACTTCTACTTTCCCAAGCTCCTCATCGGATTCAACCACGTCCTCCTCCGAAGCCACCACTTCAACTGATTCCTCTGTGGATTCAACTGCTTCATCTAGCTCCAAAACCAGTGAGGAAACAACCATGTCTTCAATCAGCTCTTCTCCAGACACCAGCACATCTATGAGATCAAGTACCTCTTCAACTACGAACACAACCCCTTCTTCAAGCTTTTCCACATCATCCTTGAATTCAACCACTTTTCCAACTACCACCACTGAGGACTCTATTTACTCAAGCTCTTCCATAGGCTCACAAACTTCTTCAAATTACACTAGCTCTTCTTCAGGTTACTCCTCCTCCAGCTCCTCCTTGAAGCCCACTTCTACTTTAACAAGCTCCTCATCGGATTCAACCACATCTTCCTTCCAATCCACCACTTCTCTAACTGATTCTTCTGTGGATTCGACTACAGCTAGCTCCAGCACCACTGAGGAAGGTACTATGTCTTCAATCTACTCCAACTCCAGCTCTTCCATAGACACCAGTTCCTCTATAGGATCAAGTACCTCTTCAACTACGAACACAACCACTTCTTCAATCTTTTCCACATCATCCTTGAATTCAACCACTTCTCCAACTACCACCACTGAGGACTTTACTTACTCAAGCTCTTCCATAGGCTCACAAACCTCTTCAAATTACACTAGTTCTTCTTCAGGCTACTCCTCCAGCTCCTCTTTGGAGCCCACCACTTCTACTTTCCCAAGCTCCTCATCGGATTCAACCACGTTCTCCTCCGAAGCCACCACTTCAACTGATTCCTCTGTGGATTCAACTGCTTCATCTAGCTCCAAAACCAGTGAGGAAACAACCATGTCTTCAATCAGCTCTTCTCCAGACACCAGCTCCTCTATAGGATCAAGTACCTCTTCAACTACGAACGCAACCACTTCTTCAAGCTTTTCCACATCATCCTTGAATTCAACCACTTCTCCAACTACCACCACTGAGGACTCTACTTACTCAAGCTCTTCCATAGGCTCACAAACTTCTTCAAATTACACTAGCTCTTCTTCAGGCTACTCCTCCTCCAGCTCCTCTTTGGAGCCCACAACTTCTACTTTCTCAAGCTCCTCAATGGATTCAACCACGTCTTCCTTCCACTCCACTTCTCCAACTGATTCTTCTGTGGATTCGACTACAACTAGCTCCAACACCAGTGAGGAAGCAACCATGTCTTCAATCTACTCCAACTCAAGCTCTTCCATAGACACCAGCTCCTCTAGAGGATCAAGTACCTCTTCAACTACGGACAAACCATCTTCTTCAACCTTTTCCACATCAACCTTGAATTCAACCACTTCTCCAAACTACCACCACTGACGATTCTTACTTACTCAAGCTCTTCCATAGGCTCAAAACCCTCTTCAAACTTACACTAGCTCTTCTTCAGGCTACTCCTCATCCAGTCCCTCTTCTGAACCCACTTTTTCTACTTATACAAGCTCCTCATCGGATTCAACCACGTCTTCCTTCCAATCCACCACTTCTCCAACTGATTCTTCTGTGGATTCGACTACAACTAGCTCCAGCACCAGTGAGGAAGCAACCATGTCTTCAATCTACTCCAACTCCAGCTCTTCCATAGACACCAGCTCCTCTAGAGGATCAAGTACCTCTTCAACTACGGACACAACCACTTCTTCAACCTTTTCCACATCATCCTTGAATTCAACCACTTCTCCAACTACCACCACTGAGACTCTACTTACTCAAGCTCTTCCATAGGCTCACAAACCTCTTCAACTTACACTAGCTCTTCTTCAGGCTACTCCTCATCCAGTCCCTCTTCTGAACCCACTTTTTCTACTTATACAAGCTCCTCATCGGATTCAACCACGTCCTACTCCGAAGCCACCACTTCAACTGATTCCTCTGTGGATTCAACTGCTTCATCTAGCTCCAGCACCAGTGAGGAAACAACCATGTCTTCAATCAGCTCTTCCACAGACACACCTCTCCTCTATAGGATCAAGTACCTAATTCAACTACGGACACAACCACTTCTTCAAGCTTTTTCCACATCATCCTTGAATTCAACCACTCTCTCTAACTTACCACAAACTGACGGACTCTTCTTAC